TTCAATTTCCCAATTTTACCTTTTTTTTAAACAGTATTTTTATTCATCACCCTATTTTAATACTATTTTTTTTTTTATTGTTACTTGATATATTGTGTATTTCTTTTTTTCTTGTCATTACTCAGTTAATGCTTTAGCAATACTGTGTGAATGGACACTGATAGCAATGGAAACGTTCAGGTCATCTCGCAGTATTTCTGAATGCAGAAAAAGTCCTGTAAAGATGGTTTTGAAAACTCTTTGTGTTTCCATCAGGTTCCCCAGATCTGCGTTACATTCGCGTGGAGACCTGCATGTTCATGGTCAAGCTGCCGCAGTACTCTTCCCTCGACGTGATGCTGGAGAAGCTGCGCTATGCTATCCACTATCGCGAGGATCCTCTCAGCGGTTAAACCTGATTCCTCAGATCCCCGTCGACCACACGACCTTACTTCAGTTCTCACTTCTTCTTCAAGAATAGTCATGAAGGAACTTGATCAGCCCAGACCAGCTTGCCTTTACGGAGACTAGCGTTAGCGTGTGTTTGACGGAGGGCGGCGAGTTTGACAGCAGCTCGCGGTGGTGAAGAGTACGCCACTATTTTATAAATGATCTACATGTGCTGTTCTTCAACAAATGTGAAGGGAATGGCACTGTAACTGCTTTTCTCCCTTTTTAAACATTAATCTCTCTCTCTCTCTCTCTCTCTCTCGCTCTCGCTCTCTCTCTTCCTCTCTTCCTCTCTTCCTCTCATTTAATCAGTCTTTCATCATTGCATTCCCAGTGTGCCTCAGCACCTTCTCTCCATTAGTGACAGTGATTGTTGACGCACATTCAGCTACAGAGATGCCGAATTTAGCTTTGCACAGGACTTAAACGTTCCGCTCAAAGTTATACTTGCATCTTTCAGTATACATTTGGGGTGAATCTCACGAAACCGGTCAAGAACATGTCCAAAACATAAACCCTTTTTGTACCATGAATGTTTTTTTTTTTCCTTCCCTTCCTTTTTTGCATTTTCACCCTATTCTCATAACCGTAATGCACCTCAGATTTTTTTTTTTTTTGCATTTTCCTTCAGTTCTTATTACCCCAATGCAACTCAGAATTTTTTTTGTCTTATTTTTTTGTCTTTTCTTGTATTTTCCTTCAATTCTCATTACCTTAAAGCACCTGAGAATTGTTTTTTTTTTTTTGCATCCCTTT